GGATACTCTAAATGCTCGACGGAATTGTAGTGCAATTATTTTGTTTATATAAAGTGCTTCATAATAAAATACTGTCAAACTTTTAAGACTTATTGCATAAACTTAAATTTAATGTTCCTAGAATTTCTTCAAGAAGTGAAATTACCTTTTATTTACCCACTGCACAAACAAATGTCTTAATGTTTTCCCCTTACACACGATGTGTGTGCAATTTAATATTCTAGGCAACAAAGCTAGATATATTTAATTGTCCAAATATCAAGTATTTTTTTATAAACCAAAATCTACAGATTACTTACTATATTTTTGTACCTAGTATATTATTTTTTGTTATCTATTGAACACGTTATTCCTAACTTTCTACAACCACAGTTCCGTGGCAACGTGTGCTACATCCACAAGCCACTTCTTGAGCAAAATCTCTGACACAGGTGATTCGCATCTGCAAATCGCAATCGATCTATTTTTTTTTCTCACAGTCGAGAGGTTTTAAGTGATTACCGTTCTACTACACCATGTTCTTAAACTATGGTGCTTGGTGACATCATGTGTTGCCTGTAATTGAACAAGAGAAAATTTTGCACTTTTTGATACTTTGCTGAAAAGCTAAAGCGCCAGTTGCTTAAGGTCTTATTTTTAGCTTTGCCCCATAAAGAGTAGATAAAATGTATTCTGATGCAGATTTCTTTCTGTTTCAGTTGCATTGTCGCGCAAAAACTTGTCCATATAAGATTTTAATTTTATTGTAAAATATTTTTATTTATAAGTTCACAATTTTTTATTTCCAATGTTGTGACTTTGTTTATAAATCCATCATAGTTTTACACATTCATAAAAATACTGAATTTTTATAAAATTAACTCAAAATACTTTTTTATTATTTTTAAATTATCCTTTTTAATATTTTTTAGATAATTTTTTTTAAATGTTTTAAACAAACTATTTTGATGAAAAATCGCATCTTCTATAAAAAATTGTCTATTAAATATACCGACCTTTGCTTCGTTTTCGAGATATAATTAAAAAACTGTAAGGGTTGCATTTTTAGCCCTATTTTCAATTTCCGCCCTTTAATTCAATAGCACTGCGCGGGTTTTTTCATTTTAAATGACAATTTGAATTATTCATGTGAAAAAACCCGCGAAAGTGATAGTTCTTATTGCCCCCTTTTTTAGGACGTAATTAATAGCCTACCTATATCTATTGTAACTTGAATTTTAAATATTACGATTAATTATATGGTTATTTTGTTTTCACTTTCACTTCAAAAGTATACTAATTTTTTATTTATGAATATCTGTATTTAGCATTGTCTTGTAAAAAGTTTTATTAAGTATAATTTATAACCACCGTAACGTAACTTAACTTAACGCCGTAGAAACTTAACCTAAGATATAAAAATAAAGTCTATTTATAAATGTCCGTAACGTAAGAGTTGAGCATGCGTGTTGATTTCAGAGATTATCTAATTACTGACAACCTTATGAAATAAACAAGTGTAAACTATGTACCTAGCCTCTAAATAAAACTTATAAATTATGATTTTGCTATATAGAAAGAATATATTAACTACTTTAAAAGTAGTAATATAAAAATATAATAAAACAGAATAGTTTACCGAAGATGTTGATTGTTTTTGAGCAATAATGAGAATTTAATCTTTCCTAGCAAACTAGTTTTGTGTCTTATTTCATTTCTAGACTTGATGTTTATAGGTATATGCAGCAACACTCATATCTCATAGTTTATCCCCAATAACATAAACACAAATCATTCATGATAATGTATGTCCATCAAAAAGGAGAATGTTAGTTTACAAATGGTATTTGCCTATTCATTTATAAAAAAAAATAAAAATAGAATAAATGACAGTTATCACATGCTGAACTCAGAATTATCTCATTGGCTAACCGTAAGGTCTTAGGTTAAGTTAAGTTGTTAAGTTTAATAAAGTTGGTGAACTTTCTACGGTACGTTAAGTTCTTAAGTTACGTTACGAACATTATAAATAAGCATACGTAAATTCAATATTTCAACTTCTTACGTTAAGTTCTTAAGTTACGTTACTGCGGTTATAAATTAAGCTTTAAACCTGTTAAACAATAAAGTCCTTGACAGGAGAGAGATAATCACAATACGCGTGTTTACTGCACGTCACAAGTTGAGGAAGGTCATAGCACTGGATGCCAACAAAAGAACCATACTGTCAACGTGTCAACTGTCATTAATGTTAGGCATTCCAAACTGAATGGCTACCAGTGGGTTTTGACGGGTTATGATATGGCAAAATTATGGCAACCCTGTAGGTCTGGTGATTTGACAAGGTCAATGAAATAGATAGTTACATAGATTGATTATCCATATTTTTCAAAATAAACATAAGCGTATGCCTTGAACTAAAAATGTAAGCAATTATTTTTTTTTTAAATATTTAAGGCTAAAAATTGGTTTTAAAACACATTTTTGCTAAACCGATTGGGTGAGATTACAGAACGTCTGCAACTTTGCAGATCTGCAAATATGGCGGCAACTTTGAAAATCTGCAAATATGACTGACTTACACATGCAAATATCAAGTTTTCGTATTCCAAATTTGGGTTTAGGGTTGTTGGGGGTAATAAACCACAATAAATATTGCGAATTTGCAGATATTTTTTGGAATACTTGCATTTGTAAGTCCGCCATATTTGCAGATTTGCAAAGTTGCAGATCTGCAAAGTTGCAGACAGTCTGTAATCTCACTCCAAATTAATAAATATTTGCCAGGCAATATGGCCGCTCGTAAACGACCAGCTTTGAGCAATCTATATAACTATATATGTATCATTGACCCTGTTAATGACAACATGACAACAGGGTTGCCATATCTAAACTGTCATTACCCACTGGTAGCCATTTGGACAGGTCGTTGGAATGCCTAATAACACAGTCGTCATTGAAATTATTAAAGCACAATTTTGAAAATTATTTAACATATAAGAGCATATGGATGGTAAGGTAATAAGGTTTATATGTTTCTCTATTAATTTCATAATTTTATTTTTCAGGAAAATATTTATTTGTCTTTGATTTGAAGAATTTTAACTCAGTCTACTCAAACCCTGGTTTTTGAAGTGGATATAATTTAATTAATTGACACATTCAAAGCATATAAACTATAAGTTGATGACATTCATACGTAATTCTATCAATTTCATAATCTTTTTTACAGGAAAATAATTATTTTTCCGTGATTTGAGAAATATTAACCCAACTTATTTAAAGAACTTTTGAAATGGATTTTAAAGCAGTAGTACATGTTCCAGAGGCCAAGTGATTTGCCACAACATGGCTACCTTATTGTATTATGCCCATTACAATATTTACGCAACTGAGAAGGCCCTGAAGAAGCTAAATAGGCCTTTGATCCAAGGGGTTGCGATTTATACTGTTTTTTGTTTGGCCATAATCCGTAGAGGCTGAATGGGATCCTAATTTAAACATTTTATATTGACAAATTCATATCGGCTGTTTTCAATACTTTTTTTTATTACTGAAAAAGCACTGTCAAATAGATACTAAACTGTTATTTATTACTACACAAATATTTGATAATTTATATTATTATATAATAAAAATACTTAAATTTTTTTTTATTTATTTATTTATTTATTTATTTATCTTGCAGAACAGAGTAAACTTTCGAATATTTAAAATATAATTTTCACAAATATGTGTATAAGAAAAATGCAGAGGCATAGTACTTATCATTTTTTCTGACCTCTCCACTTTCATTTTTAATACAGTTTTCAGCTTTGATCATAACATAATCTAAATAAAAAAAATATTTTTCTTCGAAATATGCAATTGGCACAACAATAAAGTTCATATTCTACTTCCTAGTAACATATAATAACTCTGAGAATTTATATCAAGGGCCACAGTGCAGGACCTCGTAATTAATATTTCCACTAAAAATTATATTTTATGATAATCTCGTTTAAAACATTTCGCTCCATCTACTGTATAGGGGAAGTATTACAATTTTTGAACAAAACATGGGTAAATATTAGTCCCATTATAGAGTAAAATGGATTGTTCTATACGTATAACATTTTTTTCCACTAAAAAAATGTCGATTTTGCGGCTTAGGAGGTCCTGCCTTGTGGCCCTCGATATATGTCTCACCTGCTTCTTTTCTGGACGGACCCAGGCATTGATTCATCTTGTAAATATTAAATTATGTTCACTATCAAAATCAGGAATATGGTTAAGTTTCTCAAATCGCTAAAATAGAATAGATATCGCCACTATCGCTATGCTATCTGGCTTTGTGACTGACATTCAGTTCGGCTAATATCGCACTACCATATCTTCTAATTCTAGTCGACGACTGGCTGTTGCCCTGTTGCCAATTTATTAACTTATGTACTAGTCGTATGCCTAACACAAAAAAATAAGTAATACTTACCCACTCGTATTTTATTTAAATAAGCTCATTAGGTCGAAATTAAATAAAACAATTACAAATATATTTTCATTTTTTATTTTTGCTTCATACAATAGGTAATAGGGGCTATAAAATATATTAACTTTTATAGCGGAGATATTAGTGTCTAGCGGGGTTCTTAGGGTATTAATTATATTGAATATAACTAGAAATAAAACTAACTGGTTTATTAAGAACACGAAAATACATTAAAAATAACCTAAGCGATAAAAATCATGACCTTAAAATCATAACTCTTTTTTATTTACTAGTCAAGTTCAGTGATAGAATAAAAATGAATTATTCAATACTGTGCATGGCATTTTGTATCAATAAATCCTATACAGTCTGAATTTAATTTAATATCTCTGGTACAAAAAACCTTGTTATTATTGTTTAAAATATATGTACCTAAACACCTATTTAACTTTTCTAAGAAATAAAAATACATATCAGTTTCTACGTTTTGCCTTCACTTTTTTGCTTTAGATTTTATTAAGGGTAAGATAAAGACAAAACAACAATTAAAATATGTCCTTCATTTATTTAATATAAATTTCAATTATTTACAAAAATCGTTTTATTACATTCATTCTTTTCCTCAATTCCAGTTATATCTCCCAAAAAGACGATTCCAGCTATACTTATTTAGATTTCTTCCTACTAAGTTACCGCCCCCAATATCTCCAGACATGCTCCTTCCTACCAAACCACCACCTCCAATATCTCCAGGCAGTTCTCTTCCTACTAAATTACCTCCCCCTATATCACCAGAAAGACCTCTTCCCACTAAGGAACTACCACCTATATCTCCAGATAGGCTTCTTCCTACTAAACCACTGCCCCCAATATCTCCAGAGAGGTCTCTTCCTACTAAATTACCGCCTCCAATGTCTCCAGGTAGACCTCGTCCAACTAAAGAACTTCCTCCTATATCTCCAGACAGACTTCGTCCTACTAAGGTACTACCGCCTATATCACCAGGAAGACTTCTTCCTAACATATTTCCTCTTCCAGACATTCCATATTTACCTAAACTTCTACCGATTATAGTACCCCCTCCAATATCTCCTGGCATACCGCTACCAAGTCGATACCAATGATTCAAGCTTCTTCCTATTAAGTTAGCACCTCCGATGTTGTCCAGACTTCGGCCTATGAGGCCACCGCCACCAATATCTCCATCAATGCTTCTTCCTATCAAGTTAGCACCTCCGATGTTGTCCAGACCTCGGCCTATGAGACCACCGCCACCAATATCTCCATCGATGCTTCTTCCTATCAAGTTAGCACCTCCAATGTTGTCCAGACTTCTGCCTATGAGGTTACCGCCACCAATATCTCCGTCGATGCTTCTTCCTATCAAGTTAGCACCTCCGATGTTGTCCAGACTTCTGCCTATGAGGTTACCGCCACCAATATCTCCGTCGATGCTTCTTCCTATCAAGTTAGCACCTCCGATGTTGTCCAGACTTCTGCCTATGAGGTTACCGCCACCAATATCTCCGTCGATGCTTCTTCCTATCAAGTTAGCACCTCCGATGTTGTCCAGACTTCGACCTATGAGGCCACCGCCACCAATATCTCCGTCGATGCTTCTTCCTATCAAGTTAGCACCTCCGATGTTGTCCAGACTTCGACCTATGAGGCCACCGCCACCAATATCTCCGTTGATTTCTTTAAGAAGTAGGTTTCTCTTGCCAATTAAGTGACACCCACCAATGCAGTCCAGTCCTCTTTTTGATCCTAAGCGACCTAAAAATGAAAATAAATTTAAATTTTTGTTTTCATAAAAATTCGGGTTTTCGACTGTTTTGTATTTACAATGGTTACTTACGTAATGACAGGTATTTACAAATGTATTTTATAAGATATAGTATTTACACGGTATAGTATTCACACAATATATAATATTTACATGGTATAGCATTTTCACGGTTTGTTTACATGGTATAGAATTAACACGGTATAGCATTTACAGGTTATAGTATAGTATTTACACGGTATAGTACCTACAGTATCACGTAATCTACAAAAAAAATCTAAAGTAGGTCATACAGACAAAGATAAAAGTCGTGATAAGTACGTGCTTCTAAATTAAATTCAAAAGGTCATTTAAAAAAAGAAGAAATTTATGTTCGCACATGCGTTATTTTTTCCGTAGCCTACTTTAGAAGAATGTTTTGTTAATCACTCCATATTTACACAGTATAGTGTAGTATTTACACGATATAGTATAGTAGTTACAGGGTGGGAATAGTATTTACACAATATAAAAACATAAGCACAGTTTGAAGGATAATGTGAAAATATTTATAAAGATTAATTTTTGATCTGTATTTCCCACTGTATGTTTATTTATTTACTTTACTTATGTTTATATTTTAGTGCGAGTATAAAAATGATAAATGTATATAATAACTTTTTCAACACACGACAGGATGAGTCATTTAAAAAAATCGACATTTAAGTACTCTCATTGCAAATCTACACCCGTATATTTCCCCAAATGACACATTTCATCATGTATAATTTGACTTTTAAACCTTTTTTTGAGGCTATTATAATATTAAATAGTCCTCCAATTTCGGAGGGCCATTTTTTCCCTCCAATGTTTAAAGTGGTGCGTGAATGGGCATGCGCGTGACTTATTTTAAAAAAGTCCATTAAAAATATTGGGCCATTTTTCGGGTCAAAAGAAAGGTATTATACAAGACAATTTAGATCTTAAAAATGGCTAGTAAAACTTTTTAAATTCTGTAAGCGAATTCGATCTCATAAAAAAATAAGTCACGCATATATTTTTTCACGCGTTTTCTGCAAATATAGTCCGATATAAATTAACATCCGCGCGTCCGCCATCCGCCGCGGTTCGGGGCTCGTGCGTTGTTCACCTAAGCGCCTCAGTCTGAACGTCGCGCTTTCATGAATTCGCTGGACAAGTATCATAATACAATTTAATAATAAATTCAGCCATTTAGGATGAATACATAAAAAGCGATATATTCATTTATTCGTACTAATGGACCATTCTGTCTATATATAATGTACCTATAAACGTCCGTTCTTTTTTTTATTATCAAAAATTATAAAAATATAAGACCATCTCAACTATCTGTCAGTTTTTTTATTCTGGAAAATAGTCTGATTTAATATAAAGCTATGCCCAAAGTTCTTGGAGACTTTGAAAATGTTTTCAAATTTGGATGAGCACCTACGTGAGTCAGTCATTCAGAATTTCGGTTATTATTAAGTACATATATGTAGTTGGAAAAGTCTTAACAAGTTTCGCTCAATCTTTTAGACCATTAAATTTTCTCTGTACACACTTATGTGATCGGAAGGTTCTATTATTATTCTTAGTATTTGAAGAAGTCCTGAAAACTTATTGTGGAGCTGTCGTACATAGTTTATGTACATTTCACAACGAAATAAACTTATTTATAAATTTGTATAAGTCAATAACAGCAAATTATCGGCGAATTTAATTTTATTCATTGATTTTTCTGAATCGCATCACAACCGCATCCTTGTATGGAAATAAAGGTTAATAATGGAGTACTGCAATTAAAAGAGAGAAGAAATCTAATTAGTTCACCTAGAGGAGGGAAAACTGTATTAGGAAAAATCTCGTGAATAAATTTGTTGACGTGATAGTGTCGAATGTTTTCGAACAATTATTAGAATGAGAAAAATAAATACTTTTATTATAGGTCACCTGCGATTTGCTCGAGACAAAGTTCTTAGTACAACAAATAATGTTTTAAAAAACTCAAAATAAAATCCTAAAAGATTAGAATGAATAACAAGATAACCCTTATAATCGAGAAAGACATAACACCTAAGTTATAAAAGTAATTTTAATAAACTGACTAAACGATATCGTGCAGATACCATCACCAGATATTGACCAAATTTATATGGGACCACCCCTGAGGTATCCCCTTTCTAAAAAAAAAAGAATCATTGAAATCGGATAACGTGGTAAAGATTTATCGCGGAACATTCATAAAAAAATATTTCGACGAATTGAGAACCTCTTTCTTTTTTGAAGTCGGTTAAAAATCATCTGTGTCCATATAGAATTTCGCTTTAAATTCGGAAGTAGATAAGAACAATGTTCATATAAATAAGCTAGAAGACTTTAGTGGGCGCTCTGCAACTGAGAGTTTCTTCATGAATTAATTCCCAAAGTCACTTCATGAAGAAATTAATTTTTAACACAATTAGGGGAAGGTGGCCCAAAAAGATCCCTGAGGACAAAACGATCCCACGTTGTTATTTTATATACCGGTAAAGTGAGTCTACAAATAGACGCCTTTCACATATCGAGTTAAAAAAGTATTGTACAAAGAATAAATTGTTGTTTTACAGGTTCCATTAAAAAATCAAATCGAGAATTTACATTTCTTGCTGACGAGTCCTAATAAGAACGAAATCGTTTAACGAATGACATTCTCATTAGTAAGTAAAATCAAAGTTAATAGTGTTGACAATAATTTTCGATCTCTGCTGTTTTTATTTGAATATAATTAATTGCATATCGCGGTATTAGCTAAAGATGCAGCTATTTTCTAAAAGGAAACGATCGTTTGTTGTTTTTGGAATAATTTTCCTTTTTTAGAAGAAGATGACTGCAATCCTTATCAGTGTGATTATTGTATTCAACCTACTAAAATTAATACTGTGCTTAGAAAATTATATTTGTTATACCTAAAGTTATTCAGCTGTTTCAGTTCACACATTTTTTATTTAGTTGATTTTTCGTTATTATACTCTTTTTGTATGGATGTTTATGTAGATCTGTAAGATTCAACGACGAACAACTACTAGACTAATCATGTTTACAAAAAACGAATTGTAAACATTCACGAAGTTGTCAAATTATTTTGAGAGAGTACGTGAGAATTTTGTTGCAAGAATTATTTATTGTTATAATTCGGAATTAACTTACAATTGACGCACATGCTCTTAAAATTACATTAAGGAAGTATATTTGCATTCTTAATGCTAATTATTATCAATTTAATGTATTTTTCTCGTTACAACTATTCTAGTAGCAAGCATCGTAACCGTAATTACTGATCCATTCATAAAACGTGTGCTCGCATCCCAAATAAACAAACTCGTGCAAACCATCCCCACCCAAATTGACAGACATCTCGTTCTTTTTAATGCGGCAGCCGATGCGATAGCTCTGTCTGCCTAATACAACACACAATCTGAATACTTGCAACAAATAAGGGCTTAATTATGAATGAATGGATTAGTCTAGTAGTTTCTATCTTTAAAAAATAGATAAAAAATATTCTGTTTTTTGTAAAGTTTTAGGGAATCATTTTGCCCTTTTATATAGGTATTTCAACTTTTTATAACGTGGACAACCTGTAAAATAGCTTGACAGAAACATATCTATATTCCTTAAGCCAAAATAAGATGATTTAAGTAAACTTATTTCAGCACAAAGTTGATTTTTTTCAATGATCGCATATTTAAAATTTCTAAGCCAAGTATACTTTATAAGAGTATACTTTTTGTAGTAAATGAATTAAGAAATCCAAATTTTATACTCAACCCCCTTTTCTTCCATTGACGTACACATTTTAAAAGTGCAATTATTGAAAACATCAAGTTCTACGCCTGAGGATTAATATTAGTTAACATTTTGATGTATTTTGTCACATAAAACTCTGTTAACTTACTAAATTTAAGTAGAATTGCTTAGATAAACCGTTTTCAATTTATATATTTTAAAATTGTAACTTTAAGGTCGCTTAGCGCCCAAACTGAGCTAATTAAAATAAACTAAAGACCATTTACAGACACCCTGTATAATTTTACATTGTAAATGTAAATTGCATAAATTATTTTTAAAGCACAACGATTGGTCAATCTAAAAATAATTTGGTAAATTATTTATCTATTTTATGAAATATATTTTACCATCATTTTATTCTTAAACGGGTCATTTTGGGTCATCTTCCCGTAAATAATTAATAATACTGTTGAAACGAAATTGCTCAGTTTAAAATCGAACTGTCAATTGAATTATAGGTTAGAAACGTCAATCAATACAAGGAGTATCGATTTCGTGAACTTTGGCAATGCTCCTCGTATGTACAAAACCGTATTGCAAAAGGCTTTATTATTAACTAGTGAATAAGGAATATTAATATTAGTAAGTAAATACATGTACGTTGAACATATTACAGATTAGTTTTAGATTAAAACCGCTAATATCTACTTCATTATAAATACATATTATTTTGGCCACTTCTTGCATTTAATTTTAAAACTATTTGTTAAGAAAAATCTACCGACCGAAGCTCGAACAAGAAAAATTTTCGAGAAAATTTATACAACCTTTTCATAGACATTCTAAAATTCACTTCATAATATTTGTTTTCACGGAAATACTCCCAAAAGATAAAAATGTTAAAAAGTTTTTACAAACTCACGTAATCAATCAGAATCTATGGGTAACGTTATGAAGAGTGCAAATCCTTTTTCCCAATGAAAAACGATCACAGTCCTTGGATGTGCTTGATTGATCCAGCGTGGTAAACGCAATAGCAAAACAAAACTTCTGCATACTTTACACACACTCACATACACTAAATTCCACAAACCCATGTACTGTAGTGTTTCGCGGTCTAAAACCATGTAGCAATCTCCTGGAGATGCTTAGAAATTAAATCTACAAAATAATGACGTACATCATCGTCACAACCGCGTGCTAGAGCACGTGAGTCTAC